CTGCTCCCGCGGGAAGCGTGCCCACGCGCCGCAGCACGTCCCACGCCGGCGACAGCAGCGAGGGTCTGGCACGGGCACCTTCTCGCCCCGGCGAGGCACCGGACGGGGCATGGGAAGGCCGGGGGCATTTCGTGGTATCTGAAATTTGCATTCGCGTTATCAGCTGAATTCCTATCTCGAGGCCTGCCTTGCTCGCACATACTGAGGTGTTGCCTAACGAGAGAGCAGTAGCTGTAGTGGAGATCCAAGATAGTTTTCCTTACAACCCCTGCCATACCTCAGTTGTGTGTTTACAGCCTACGAGTACTACGAACATCAGCAGAGAGGACTGTAAACCTGAAGGAATGGTTTCTACTCGATCCTCTCACAGATAATGCCGTCAGACAGCACACACGTCCCTCCCGTTTCTCAGGACTCTTTCAGAGTGGAAGTGGTTAATATGTGTCTTAAAAAGTTCTTCCACGCAGATCATGATTTTGTTAAAACAAAGTTTCTTCTTTTTCTTTCTTTTTTTTTTTTTCCCCCCCCCAAATGCTGGCCATTTGGCTATATGAGAATGTTGACAAACACCTTCGGGATCATGCAAGAAACCAATGACCTCACTCTGTTTCATCTCAAGTTTCCTTTGGCTTTGGTATTTCTTTGTAGTCTGTCCTATGGTGATTTGTGCTTGGCTGACGGAGTGCACACTTTTTAATGAATGATGTTGCAAATAACATCATCTCATCTACCGGCCTTTTTAAATGCAATGCGTGACAGAAACCATACTGAAAACAAAGGGTTTGAAGGTTGTTTTTCTTTTTTACATATTCTTCCCTCTTTCTACTCTGTGATTAACACTCGTCGTATTTCCATCTGATTAGAAAGGAAACAATTATGAAACATCTCGCAGTGGGCAAGCGGTGGGAAATGAAGTTGGCCGGCTGGTTTTGGGCACGCCAGTTAATGCTGATCTCCGATCCAATCTGGTTTGCGAGTCCTGCTTCAGTTTTTCCTACACTTTGAGGCCAGCCCGCTTCAGTTGTGCTACCAAAACAGCGGGCAGGACTGCAGCTCTGCCCGGGAGAACCCTGTGTTTCGCAGCGTGGCGTTCCCAGCGAATTCCCAAAGGAAATGAGCGGCTGCTGCCCCTGGGGCACCTGGGGAGGGCCCGGGCCGGGGGACCCCGCGGTGCTGAGCACCCTCGGGGGTCCGGG